GGGGATGGCTTAGTGACTGCTGAGGGTTTAGCTGACGTTTTGAGAACGTTAGCGGTGTTGTAAAGAGGATTTTTCAGTTCGTGTTGCTGAACTGGAAGAAAAGGCATTGTCGGCAGCTGTGTGTGTCCCTTGCTTCTGTGCCACGGTGCCGTCTGCCCAGGTGAAGCAGGAGGCACTTAGAATTAAAAATGCTTCTATTTTAAATGTGCTATTCTATAAAAACAAGGAGAAGGGAAGTTTTTGCAGGAGTTTAAGATTTGATCATTTGTATATTAAGACACTCTACAACTGGCCATTTCACCTGTTTGTAGATGAAATCCTTACATGTTTAAATACACATGTTAAAAGCCAAAAACGATTTTAAGTGGAGTTAAGAATTACGAGTGCCACGTTACCACGTCTCCCGCTCTGACATGGCACGTCTTCGTGCCGAGGCGGATAGGGATGAATATTGTCGCCTGTCCTCGTTCTTGAAGAGAGAACGTCTGCCTTTTGTTATTTCCTTTTCTTAGGATTTGTAAGTACACGTTACCTTAATTAGAATTCTTTCTTGCGATTTCTAAAATTGTTTAAATGTTGAAAAGTAACGTCAGTGCCTCAGATAACCAGTGATGAGTTCAAATGCTGGTGAGCTGGAGCCGCAGAGCGCTTCTGCAGAGGCATCTACACGGACACGGCGGCCGGAAGACCACTCCTGTGTCCTCGTACCATGCATGCTGGTGTCAGCAGGGGGACCGAGGCGCCCACCAGAAATCTGTTCAAAGTTTTCATGAAGCCATTCTAACTCTTCTCTTTCAGATCCAATACCTGAGGCCCATGTCTGGCCCAAGGTCACTTACCAATTTGGTGACAGGCAGCTGATTTGGTTCTTTAATCTTCTGCCTTCCAGTAGAGGGCGCTGTGTGTTATAAGACTTTAATACCACTTATCACAGTAATGCGATTTCTAGGTTCCTGTGGAAATCTCAGGTTTTTACCTTGTTTTTATTGTGGGCTTTTGGTTATGAGAATTTTGTTGATTGTGAATGTTTTTAGATGTAGTAATAAGTCTACTTTCTGTGTGCTTGTTTCTGGTGGCGTATTCTAGAATAAGATGTTTAGCACTGTAAACTGTATATTAATACGGTGTCAGAGGATTCAGATGATGGCCAGTTGTATGTTAGAATTTATCTTATCCTGTCGGCAAAGATTTCACTAAAGGTTTTATTTGACCTATAAATACGTATTATTTGGTTGGTGTTACAGCATGATGGAAACCTGATTCTTCTGCTTTCAGTCTTTGTATTTCACATCTACAGTGTGGGCATAAGCAACACTTCATTGGTATATTCATAAAAACCGAAGTTACTTTAATAAATATGTTTAAAAACACTAGTTTTAGTCAAGGAAAAAATCTTTTTGAATAATGGAGTTCTTTAAATTACCACTGACACATTTACTTTTTCAGTGAGATTTTATATTCCTTATTTTTACCAGATTTCTCAAATGGATGAAACAGACAAGTGAGGTTCACCCAGTTTATTGTTTAACTAATGAACTGAAAGATCTCTGCAGTTTTAGCTGTCTGTATGTGTGGCAGTTAGGAGACTTGTTAACATAGTTGAGCATACAAATTCTGTCTGAAGAGCTTTTTTATACCTGCATTGTCGAGTTAAATCCAAATCCCAGATCACAGACTAGATAAGAAGTTTTGAAGCACGTAATTTGTTGAAAAGAATTTTGTTTTTCCTTCTAGTGATTCTGATGGTTCGGGGTAATGGCGTTGGATTTTCTCCCGGTCGAGGCCTCAGTGCGCAGGGGCGGGAGGGGAGCACGGGCCTGCGGGAAGGAGCCACTTGCATCTGTGGCCGCGGAGACCTGCAGCCACCACACATTCTTTCCCTCTTCTCTTCATTTTTGAAGAAGTTGTTACGTCCAGGGTAAATGCGTGAGCGGTTGCTGCTGAAAATGTCCTTTCAGTTCCTCACAGGTTCTTAAATATCAACGGCGATGTTGATGCTCCGCTTCAGCAAATGTGACGCTTCATGTGAATATTGACCTCCCTGTTGTTTGATCCGTATTTACCTCAGTAGTTGTCTCCCTCCCGGTCTGAGTCCTCATAGCCTCACTCTTTACTCTTCAGTCAAGTTTGTGGAAAGACGCAACACGGTTCATTGCTTTTACTGTCAATTTCCTTCATCTAGTCGAGGACAGATTTTCAGAAGATTTATCCTGATCGTCTCTGTTAAAGCTGAGCTAAAATGATAAAGGTTTAAACTCTTAAGGAACCTGATCACTTGCCAGCTTGTTAGGGCAGCGGGACTTACCTGTGTTCTACACAGAATGTAGTTAGTAGCAGACTAACTTAGAGTAATAATTAAATTGCTTGAGATTCGAATCCCGTGTCTGCGCGAAAGAACAACTAAACTGAACGCTGTGGAGAACAGTGTAACTGCAGCAGTGAGGAGATCTAAATCGGATTGGTAACTATTCGTCTTACACATTGTAGAAATTCTGTGCTTATTAATGGCTTTCAGACGTTGTTTGACCAATATGCAACACAGAATCAATCATATTTTACATCGTGTCTGGTGGACACATAACCTCCATATGCATGTATTCATACTGAAAGGAGACTTTCACAGGACCGTGAACCTTTGATCCTACCCGTGGGGACAGAGTGACCCACTATTTGAAGAACTCTTAGAGAAACCGAAATGTACCTAACCTCTGAATTACTTTGATCGGGATGCCTGGAAACACATAAACATTAGTGCGAATTCTTACAAGGGTTACCAATTATAGTTGCTCTTGGTTTCTATTTCTTGGCAATTCCTTGTGTTTGTAGTGTCAGGCTAGATGATGACAAGTGGAATTTATGTGACTTTAAAAAAAAATGTGAGTAGGAGGCCTTTTTTTTCCTTTTTTTAAAGGTGTGCTTCACTGTGAGCTTGAGAAATGGTAATAGTGAGCGACCGAAAGGGTCTGTAGGAATCGTCTTGGGTAACCTTTATCGGAAGAGAAGGGCAGCGTCTGGCTCTTAGCAACTTGTTCTCCTTTGTAAGAGCTCAGTTTCAAGCTCACTGTGGTTTAGTTTTCCTTTGTGTCTCCCAGCAGCGTCTTTGCATTGTTACTCGAGCCGTTGCCGTGGCAGGTGCACGGCAGCCTGGTTGCCCCGCTGTGCGCGGTCTTCATGCATAATAGAGAATCGTGGTCGGGTCTGTTCTCTCGATGGAAGCAGATACTGCAAGGAACCGACCTCCGTTAGGTGTAGGGATAGGATCACTCCCAGTACGCTCATCTGCATATTTGAATGGTTTCCATGTGAAAACAAGTCATTGGGCTCTTTATTATGTGTACGAACCATGTAGAGATTTTGAAAATAATTGCAGAAACACGCATAGGGTGACTGTCAGTAGCCGTGTGATCTGATGTTAAGAGGTGGCCTCTTTCTTTTTTCAGAACTCAGGATGCTCTTGGGCCTGAACTCATACTGCCTGCAAGCATTGAATTCAGGGAAAGTTGTGAGTAATTTCAGATTCCATTGTTAGTGAATTATTTCTTGTTCCATTTTTCTCCATCTGATTTTCATGGGTTTTTTTTTTGTTCTTTTTTTTCTTTTTCTTCTTTTTTGAAATCTTTTCACAGCTGAAGATTCATTTTTATCTGCCATTATAAATTATACTAATAGCTCTACAGTCCATTTTAAGTTGTCACCTACATATGTATTATATATGGCATGTCGGTATGTATTGTCGAGCCAGTACAGACCCGATGTCAGTCCTACAGAGCGTACTCACAAAGTGATTGCCATAGTCAACAAGATGGTGAGCATGATGGAGGGGGTGATTCAGGTAAGCGCCAGCACGCCGGGCCCCGCTGCTTCAGTGCGCGTGCTTCTTGTTCGCATGTGTCGGCAAAGCCAGTTCCGCCGTGTCTCCGTGTGCTTACGTGTTCGACTTTGAGAGGCTTTTCTGAAATGAAAGCTATTAGAAGTAGCACTGAAAACTGTAGAGCTTGAAAAGTTGAAAAGGAACGTAAACGTCTGTTTTTTTCTACAAGTGTTAGAATAAGGGAAAGTAAACTACGTGGTAACGTTATGAGCAGGGTAAAAATCCTTAAAAGTGCAATAGTTGTGAGAAAGTACTGACACTTGTGGGTTTTCTTAGACTTAAAAAACACTTTGTTGAGATGAATTTCACAGGAAGGTAAAACTACCCATTTTAAAGCGACTAATTCAGTAGAATTTAGGTCGTTCAGTGTTGTGCGGCCGCCCCTTCTGATTCCAGAACTTCTCTGTCAGCCAACCCAATTCCTGTCCGCCCATTCAGCTGCTTCCCTCATAACCCTCCCCCGCCCAGAATTGTGTAAGGGCTCTACAGAGGCATTTGCCCTTTTTATAAGGAGCATATGATGCTGGTGGGAACTCTCTGGGTTTTTCGATAGCACTTGGGTAGGTGTGATGGACATGACATTTCTCAGTTATGATGAAAGTCCTGTTCAGATTCCTTCATAAGACTGTATTGGAAGTTTGAAGAAGTAAGGGTATTTTCTCTGTAGAATGGTTTGTTTCTTTTTAAGTCGTCCTCACCTGTGGTGGATCAAATTGGCATAGCAGTTTGCCAGATCACAATTTGAAGATTTAAAGTCCTTAGAAGTAAATTTACAGATTTTTTAAAAAGTTTTCCCAAACCCCTGATGAGTGCTATTATTCAGCTATAAAATATAAAACTCTAATTATGTATCATTAAGCAATGTGATTAGACAGTTGGGTTGTTTTTCTCCTGTGAGGATAGCTTGAGCTAACTAATCTGTTAATTCCTTGAGAATTGTTGTCAAAGGCCACAACTTTTCAAGAAATGTTTCTATTAGGTTTGAGTGGTTAGCATAAGAATGTAATGGGCTTATGATTCTTTTACCCAAATGAGGAAGTAGATAAAAAGTGTTGTCATTTTATTTGGATACCATTTTGTGTTTCTCTCCTAGTAATTTATAAACAAACATGGATTTTCCTTTTGGTTCAAAGCCATTGTCTTCCGTCATGTTTGCATTTCTGAAGCCTGCTTCAAATTGGGGAAACTCCTGTCATCAGACTACTTTTGATAGACTTTGTCTTGTTGAATTTGAACTAGTCAGTGAGATCATCATTATCAAAACAGGTCTTTTAAACTTCAGATTTAGGGTTAATCTGTGATTAGAGAATTCCTAAAATTTTGGGAAAGAACTATAGTAAATGCTTTAATTCGTAAAAACCTTTCAGAAACGAGTTTGTTCCATTTTAGTATGGTTATGTTTTTTATACATTTTTTAATTCTTAGTTTTTTTGTTCATTTTGTTTTTTACTGTTGGTCTTTTCTGTCTCTTTCATCCTATTAATCCAGGGGATAGACACTCTTCTCGTGTACCTTTAGCTAGTCAGACACACAATATCGTTAAAAGACGTTAAGTCCTTTGTGTTATAAATCTTTTAAGTAGATCAGTGTGTTTGTGTGTATATCATAACACCTTCCCTGTATAAACTGGAGGTCGCTCACTTGCGCCACTCTAAGAACATAAAACTAATCCTTTATGTCACGTACTTCCAGAGATGCTTCCCAACCGTGAATGAATGTGTAATTTGGGAATAACATAACTAAATGTCGTACCTTCATGTCGTGCCTTCATATTAGTGTTTTGATTTTTTTAAACTATCATGATTGTTTACAAGTTTCTTTCTCTCGTTCTGCTTGATTTCCCCTCGTCTGTTTCTCTCCAGGAAGTAGACCAGGTTGATCAGGTAGGATGCGCTGCTGGGAACTGGTCCTGGCTGTGTCGGCTTAGCTGAGTTTCTCGCGCTGCTTCCATGTCAAAACACAACACTCCAGCAAGCGGACTGGGCGGTTCATAACACTCATTCAGCAACTGAAACATGCAGTACTAAATCCTTTTCTGACTGTGCAACCTTTATCAGCATTTCATAATTTCTGCTTAATGCACTCAGTGTGGATATGAAATGACAAAAGTTCTGTTTCTCCTCTTTCTCGTTTATCCTTGGTTCCTATTCTTTGGATCTCATCTGAAGTTGCCTGGCCTGCACATGTGGTCGGGAGATGATGTGATAGATCAGTACTTGATACTGAGTTGCTCGGCATCTCCGCCAGCGACTGCGAGTATCAGGGTGGCTGTGGGTAACCATGGATAGATGCGTGTGTACTTCACAGATTACCAGATAAAGCACGATCTCCAATTGGGTGTTGTATGATTTGGTATCTCTGTTTTTGCATTGTAGCTAATCGGATTCATGTATCCATACATGAATCCCAAGAAGAGGTTGCAATTCCATTGCTATATATGTATCCAAATTCTTTTGCAAATATCTGGTATCTGTGGTAAATACCTTGGTGAAAATGGGAAGGTACTGGTCTATCTTCAGCAGCTTTTCAAGAGCATTCCTTTTTATTTTCATTCTTTTTTTTTTTTTTTTTTTTTTTTTTTTTTTTGTCTTGGGGTTGCTTATAGGAATGTGTTCTATCTACAGAAACAGAAGAATATCGCAGGGGCACTTGCTTTCTGGATGGCCAATGCATCTGAGCTTCTCAACTTCATTAAGCAGGACCGAGATCTTAGTCGAATCACATTGGACGCCCAAGATGTTTTAGCACACTTGGTTCAAATGGCGTTTAAGTAAGGAACACGTTCTTGGAGATTACACTATTCCGTAGAGATTTTTTAAAGGTTTTTATTTACCCTAACTGGAGATGAATATCAAGAAGCATAAATACATGCCAGATGTGTTGATTTAGTAAAATGAGGTTATTGAGCTATGTTTCAAGAATCCTGAGAGTAAAACTATATTTTAAATGGAAAATGTTATGGAACGTGTAAACTGTTTCGTCTGTGATGCCCTGTCTGACAATGGCAGTGCATCCTGCTGAGGTTATTAAAATTGTTCACATATTTTCAGATATCTGGTTCATTGTCTTCAGTCAGAACTGAATAACTACATGCCGGCTTTTCTGGATGACCCTGAAGAGAACAGTCTACAAAGACCAAAAATAGGTTAGAATATTGTTTTCTCCCTTCTTCCTCTATTCCTCCTTCTCCCTGCCTCTGCTTTCCTTCTTCCCTCCTTCCTGTTTAACTTTATTTTAATACTTAATCTACACAAGAGGAAGGTATCTTACAAATAAATGAGATGACCTATTTGATTTGGCATTCTTTAAGAAGTTGTAACTACCATCTGTTTGACTTAAGACTAGCTCTCACTGTGCATCTGGTAGAGGCCATAGGACCTCTTCCCATAGGTCCCAGTGGACCCCGGAGAGCAGCCATGTTTGCTGGTATTGAGACCTAAAGAGGCCAGGGTGTGGCAACACCTGACACCAGCTGTGTGTTGTGATTTGCTATAATCTCAGAGCTGCTGCTGCTCAGTGATTGCATGGACATTTTCGGAGGCAAGCCGGTACCCTGCCATTGCTCAGCAAGACCCTCCCCCAGAG